TGCCAATGCATTCAAGTGCACTTCTCACTTTCTCTTCTATGAGGTTCAGTGTGGTTGGTTTTACATTGAGGTTTTTCATCAATTTGGACTTGAGTTTCGTTTATGGCAATAGGTAAGGATCTATTTTCATTCTTCTACATGTTGATATCCAGTTATGCCAGCACCATTCATTGAATATGCTTTCTTTTTTCATTTTTTTTCCTTTTCGCAAAAAAAAAAAAATCAGGTGTTTATAGGTGTGTGGATTGATATCCAAGTCTTCTATTTGGTTCCATTGGTCTTCCTGACTGTTTTTGTGCCAATATCAGGGTGTTTTCAGTACTGTAGCTCTGTAGCAGAGTTTGAAGTCAGGGATTGTGATGCCTCCAGAAGTTCCTTTATTTTACAGCATTGTTTTGGCTATCCTGGGTTTTTTTGCTTTTCCATATGAAGTTGTGAATTGCTCTTTGGAGATCTGTGAGGAATTTTGCTGGGATTTTGAAAGTTATTGCATTGAATCTGTAGACTGCTTTTGGTAAGATTGCCATTTGTATTATGTTAATTCTACCTGCCCAAGAGTATGGGAGATCTTTCCCCTTCCTGGTGTCTTCTTCAGTTTCTTTCTTGAAAGATTTAAAATTTTTGTCATACAGGTCTTTCACTTGTTTGGTTAGAGTTACACTGAGATATTTTATGTTATTTGTGACTATTGTGAAAGGTGATGTTTCTCTGATTTCTTTCTCAGTCCATTTATCATCTGTGTACAGGAGGGCTACTGATTTTTTGAGTTAATCTTGTATCCTGCTACATTACTGAAGGTGTTTATGAGATGTAGAAGTTCCTTGGTAGACTTTTTGGGGTCACTTATGTAAGCTATCATAAGCAAATAGTAAGAGTTTGACTTCTTCTTTTCTGAGTTATATCCCCTTGATCTCCTTTTGTTGTCTCATTGGTCTAGCTAGGACCCCAAGTGATGCGGGAGAATTGTCTGTATTCTGTCAATCACATTTTAATAAACCACTGATTGGCCAGGCAGGAAGTATAGGCAGGTCAACCAGACAGGAAGTAAAGGTGGGGTGATGAGAACATGAGAAGGCTAGGAAGGAGGAAATCCACTCCTCCATTCCTGCCCAGACCACTGAGGAGGCAACATGTGAGCTGCCACGCTGAAAAAGGTACTGAGCCGTGTGGCTAACATAGATAATGACAATGGATTAATATAAGTTAGAAGGACTAATAAGAAGCCTGACCTAATGGGCCAATCAGTTTATAATCTTATGTAGTCCTGTGTGTGATTTTCCTTGGGAGTTGCTGGCAGTGGGGTACCGGGTGGCACAGAAACCCCAACAAGCCGGCCCCTCATGTTACATATGGCGCCCACGTGGATAACTGAATCCACAGAAAGCTTGAGAAAGCTTGGAAAAGAATAGAGTAAAGCATGTTTTCTTGGTAGCAGCAATTTCTCGGGTCTGCTCTGCTTGCTAGAGGTAAGCAAATGCTCTCATCTGAGAGATGCTTCCTGACTCAGCGTTAGCTGCAAAACTTTGCAGCTCCTTTAAGAGGTCCTGCCACAAAACACTTAACCAGTGTTGATGAAAAGCTGAACTCAGGCTTTTCTGTTTTCAGCCATAGCAGGAAAAAAGCTGCACTATTTTAAAATGCCACCTTTCTGGGCCATCCTACCAGGGCAATCTCTGACTCTTTCAGGCAGGCAGTCCTACTATGAAGGATTTGAATGTGGTCTGTGAGCAGAATGCTGCAGCTTACTTAATGGCAGGGACCTTGAAATGCCCTGAGAGTTGTGGCAATAAAAATGGCTCCAGTGGCACCTCTGCCATGAGGCTGGAAAGCTAAGGAATGGGCTGGATCTAACTGTCAAAGCCATGGCTTTAGTCCTACCCATTAAAGACTCATGTGGTCAGAAAAAGAGAAATATACAGTAAAGAGAGATTCAGAGACAAAGAAAACCTCTAAATGTTTTACAGTGTGTTAAAAATATATGCAGTCTAAAAGTTAAAGTTCTTAAAGTTAAAAAGAAAGAGAGTAGTTGGGTGTGGTGGTACACACCTTTAATCCCAATGCCTGGGAGGTAGAGGTAGATTGACCTCTGTGACTTCAAGGGGCAGAGGTAGCTTGACCTCTGTGACTTCAAGGTGTGGTAGCACACACCTTTAAACCCAATGTCTGGGAGACAGAGACCGACAGATCTCTGTGAGTTCAAGGTGTGGTAGCACATGCCTTTAATCCCAGCTCTGGGGAGTCAGAGACAGAGGGATCTCTGTGAGTTCAAGGACAGCCTGGTCTACAGAGTTATTCCAGGACAAAGATATACAGAGAACCTGTCTCAAAAAGTAAAAGTAAAAATAAAAATAAAAGAAATAGAAGTTAAAATAAAGTCACATAAAGATGAGAAATATACAGAGAATCTTAATACAGTATGCTATTATGCTCTCTTCGTTTGTTTGAATGCTGAGGAAGGAGCAACAGCTGCTAAAAGACTTTTGTTTATAAATGCTGCTGAACTAACCCAAGATAGGTATTTTGAAAATACCGTGGCTTCACAACTGAAGTCAAAAGGTATGTTACTTTGGAGAAGAGATTTTGCTTTTGTTTCCACAGAAAATGAGAGACTGTGGATTCATTCTGAGTTAAGAAAAATCCAATTTGATCAAGGAAGGCCACCTGAAAAATCTCCAGTAGAATCAGATGGCCCAGATGTCTGAATTCTACATCCAGAACAGATTCAAGACTGCTGCCTGAGATGATCAAGACTCCCAGGATACTCCAGTCAGGACTTGATTATAACTCTAAACTTTCTTTAGGTCCCCATAAGATTATCAGCGCCCCCAACCAGCAGGAAGTAGCCTGAAATACTACACCCACATTCCCAACAAATGGACTATGGGTATTTTCCTTCGTTTAAAAAAAAAAAGAGGGAAATGATGTGGGAGAATTGTCTGTATTCTATCAATCACATTTTAATAAACCGCTGATTGGCCAGGCAGAAAGTATAGGCAGGTCAACCAGACAGGAAGTAGAGGCGGGGCGATGAGAACATGAGAAGGCTAGGAAGGAGGAAATCCACTCCTCCATTCCTGCCCAGACCACTGAGGAGGCAACATGTAAGCTGCCACGCTGAGAAAGGTACTGAGCCATGTGGCTAACATAGATAATGATAATGGATTAATATAAGTTAGAAGGACTAATAAGAAGCCTGACCTAATGGGCCAATCAGTTTATAATCTTATGTAGTCCTGTGTGTGATTTTCCTTGGGAGTTGCTGGCTGCGGGGTACCGGGTGGGACAGAAACCCCAACAAGCCGGCCCCTCATGTTACACCCCAAGTACTATATTGAATAGCTTTGGAGAGTGGACAACCTTGTCTTGTTTCTGATTTCAGTGGGATCGCTGGGAGTTTCTCTCCATTTAGTTTGATGTTGGCTGTTGGCTTGCTGTACATTGCCTTAATTATGCTTAGGTATGTTCCTTGTATCCCTGCTCTCTCCAAGACCATTATCATGAAGAGATGTTATATTTTGTTGAAGGCTTTTTCAGCATCTAGTGAGATGATCTTGTTTTGCTTTGTTTTTTTTTTCCAGTTTGTTTATGTAGCAGATTACATTGACAGATTTTCATATGATAAACCATCCCTGCATCTCTGGGATAAAGCCTATTTGGTCATGGTGGATGATATCTCTGATGTGTTCTTGGATTCCGTTTGCCAGTATTTTATTGAGTATTTTTACATCAATGTTCATGAGAGAGATTGGTCTGTAATTCTCTTTCCTAGTAATGTCTATGTGGTTGGGATATCAGGGTAATTGTAGCCTCATAAAAAGAATTTGGCAGTGTCTCTTCCGTTTCTGTTGTGTGGAACAGTTTGATGGGTATGGGCATTAGTTCTTTGAAAATCTTGTAGAATTCTGAGCTGAAACCATCTGGCCCTAGGCTTTATTTTTGGTGGGAGACTTTTGATGACTGTTTCTATTTCTTTAGCAGTTAAATAGTCTTAGGTCTATTTATCTTGCTTATCTGATCTTGATTTAATTTTGGTGATATTTATCTAGAAAGTTGTCCATTTCCTTGAAATTTTCCAATTTTGTGGAGTACATGTTTCTCTGGATTTTCTCCATGTCTGTCTTTATGTCCCCCTTTTCATTTCTGAGTTTGTTAATTTGGCGATTCTCTCTTGGCCTTTTGGTTAGTTTGGATAAACGTTTGTCTATTATGTTGATTTTTCTCAAAGACCCAAAACTTTGTTTCATTGATTCTTTGTATTGTTTTCTTTGTTTCTATTTTGTTGATTTCAGCTCTCAATTTGATGATTTCCTAACTTCTAGTCCTCCTCGGTGAGTCGATTCTTTTTGCTCTAGAGTTTCTGGTGTGTGTGTGTGTGTGTGTGTGTGTGTGTGCTGTGTTTTCCCTCAGGCGTTTTGTCATGACAACAATAGTAGCTACATTCAGCCTACCCTGGGGTGATTGAGAGGTGGTCCTATCACAAGTCAGTCTTATAGCAGCTGCAGTTCTCATTTGGCCACATATTGTTGAAATTTTCAAAAACCATCAGGTATATATATATATATATAATGACTTACTTATGACTCCCGTTCTCCATTATTTCCTTACTAATGAGTTTTTAAGCTGATTTTTTTTAGAACACTATTCAATCTGTGTTGAAATCTCTATTGCTTCAAAAATACTTTTGCCTTTCTTTTGTTTGAATTAGGATCCAAGCAAAGTTTTAACAATTTGTATCTGTTTACTATGCCTTTTAAATATCTGTTAATTCATGAGATTTTTTTTCATCCTCCTCCCTTTTATGACATTTATGGAAGAAACTGACTCATTTGTCTTGATGAATTTGTTATAATCTGACTTTGGCTGTTGGCAACCTCGTGCTGTGATTTAATAAGTCCCTCTATCACGCACCTTTCTCATTCTGTATTTCCTATAAAAACACCGATCATGAGACATACAGTCTTGATTAGATTCTTACAGCTATAATACATCCTGTTTACCTCCTCTTGTACTGTCTCCAGAAGGCACGCAATATCTGGCTGTCTCGCTTTGACTGATGTGACACAGATCAGAATGTCCGCGTGGATCAGCGTGATTCACTCATCACAGTTGTCCCTCGGCATCTGTAGAAGGCGCAGCACGCGTCCAGGACTGTCCTGCAAATAACAGAATCTGCAGATGCTCTAGGCCCCTGTATAAGATGATTTATACATGAGACCTATACATATATTCCCATGTACTCTAGAAGTGCTCTACATTGTGTAAGTAGCCATCGTCCTACAATTCCCAGAGGCCCTGGCTACCATCATCTCTCAACACTCCTAGACTCCCTGCAATCTCAATTAGAGCATCTGGTCCACTCAGAGCATACCAGGACTCTGTCCCAGCAGGGGCAGCACCTGCCACCAATAGTTGGCACCATTAGCTTAGGATTACTCTTGGGAAGAATCCAGGCAAGCACTCATTTTCGGGTACTAACCCACAGTTTTTCACATATCTTGCATGGTTCCCAGAAGTTCATGCATTTGAAGCTCAGTTCCCAGCTTGAGATACTTTTGGGCATCGGTAGAACCTATGGGACAATCTACTGGAAAGACATTAGGCCCCCCAGGGGTGCCTTTCAAGAGTAATAGGTTTTTGCTTTTCATTTTTATTAATTATTATTATTACTATTATTTTTGTTAAACTTTGTTTGGGACTGCAACCCTTTTCTTCTAAGTTTCCTGGCTTCCACGAAGTTAACAGGCTCCCTCTTCTGTGTGTTTCCACCATGACCAGCTTCCCGGCATAGTTCCCAGCAGCAGGTCCCAGCCATCACAAGCGGAAACCTCCGAAAACATGAGCTAAGACAAGCCTTCCTGCCTTTCATTTCAGTCTTTCTTTTTATACTCATTTTTAAAAACATTTTAAAATTTTATTTCACATGCATGGGTATTTTGCCTGCATATGTCTGTATGAGAGTGACAGATCCCCTAGAGCTGTAGTTACAGACAGTTGTGAGCGGCCATGTGGGTGCTGGGAACTGAACCCAGGTCCTCTGGAAGAACAGGCAGTGTTCTTAACCACTGAGGCATTTCTCCAACCCAGTCTTCCCAGTTATGCAGATATTCTGCCCCAGTGACACAAAGCTAGTACCACAAGAAAATATACCAACTAGAAAAACCAAACGAGCATTATGTAATTGTCTACATAACATAAATCATTGATGGGTAAGAGGTTGAAATAGAATCAATCTTTGGGAAAGAAAAGAATCAACAGTGCTGGCTGTTAACATATTCACCTGTGAAGGTGCTGGGAGTCGCAGTGTGCCTCCAAAACTCTAGGTGTGTAATTTCTACAGCAATTACAAGGAAGTCAAATTAAGTCCTTAATGTATTTACAAATGTGATTTAAGGCTGAAAATGATGGTTCAATTTTATCTTATAGTTTTTGGTTATTGTGTCTTTTGGTTATTGTTTCTTAGAGTGTTGAGAGGACGGAACCTCAGGTCTTGAGGATACCAGGCAAGACTACCCCGTCACTGAACAATATGCTCCTTGCCCCTTTATGGTATTTAAAATCATTTAAAATTTCAATTTTCGGGGCTGGAGAGATGGCTCAGTGGTTAAGAGCACTGGTTGTTCTTCCAGAGGACACAGGTTCAACTCCCAGCACCCATATGGCAGCTCACAACTGTAACTCCACTTCCCCAGGATCTGACACCTTTACACCAATGCACATAAAATAAAGTTAAATTATTAAAAAAAATTCCAATTTTCAAAAGTCAGGTGTGGTGTCACACACTTTTAATCCCATCACTAAGAAGACAGAGGTTGGCAGATTTCTGAGTTTGAGGCCAACTTGGTTTACAGAGCGAGTTCCATGAGGGCTGGGGCGACAACAGAGAAACTCTATCTCCAAAAACGGAAAACAATAAAAGAAGTTTTCTTTATTAGCTCTACGAAATTTGACATCCAAACAAAACCATGAAGTTTCTGCAATGTGGCTTATTGATAAAGAAACAGACTAGGTTACAAGCCTTCTCTGTGATTGCTAATGGCAGGCTAGGATGAGAATGCAAATTTCGAAGTCTCCTTTAATGCCTTTTCTTTTCTAACCTCTAATAAGAAAGCTGTTTGTTGTTGAAGGTCTCCATTTCTCTGGTGAGATCAACCATGAAGAGCCCCTCGGAGACAGACTGGAGCTAGAGGACCCCCCATCCTCCCATAAGCAGTGCCTCAGCAGACCCGACATGACCACTAGGACCCAAACCATCCATAAACTGTATTGCATTGTACATTTTAAAGCAATGACACAGTCTTTTGTGGGCTTCATATTTGCTCCCGACAAGCGAGGTTGTGCATCAGCTAGCTCAGTCCCCATTACCTCAGTTTTTCCCTTGCCCTTGGAAGGAGAGACTTCAGACACCCATTATAATCTGTTTTCTTACAAGAGATGGTGGTGGGAGTGGCTCAGGAGATGAGGAATTGTCGATCTGCCCCTACTTGCCAGCTGGTAGGCATTTCTACTTGATGGGGAAATTAAAAACTGAATACCATTATAAAATCTCATATAAATAACAATTCCTGTTTTTCTTTTCTTTTCTTTTTTGTTTTTTAAAGACAGGCTTTCTTTGTGTACACCAGGCTGGTCTCAAACTCACCAGGATTCCCCTGCTCTGCCTCCTGAGTGCTGGAATTAAAGGCATATGACACCTCGTGCTGGGCTAAATAATTCTTTAATATCCACTCTATTTTTCTTTGCTTCAATTGTCTCAAAGATGCATTTTACAATTTGTTTTAATCCAAGTGGAATTAACATATTGCATTTAGTACTTTTTATTGTGAATACTTCTTTTTAAAAGATTCTGTAACTTTGCCTTCATTATTGCTGAGCCATTTTCCAAGGTGGTTGTGTCGACTCCAGTCCAATAGCTAGAAATTCACTTCCTCTCCCCCTTTTGGTATTACCTGACAATTTATTGCCTATCTACTAATAAGCCACAGTCTGAGAAGAAATATGAGCATCGTCATCAAATAATGGGCAGTCAAAGGTTTTAGAAAGCACTTTATACTCACTGAAGATAAGCTATGCCTCTATGCCATCTGAAAAGTCACATTCTTGGCTACCAAGTATGTCAGGAGCATCCTATTGCATATTTTCGGCTTTTTTGCTTTCAGTGCTGGTAGATCAAATCCGGGTCTCCTGCATGTTAAGCACAGGCTTTCCTAACAAACTATCCATTCCAGCCTTCTATTATGTATTAATGAAAGAATAAAGATGGCAAATAATTATAAACCGCCTAGAAGGTCTTAGGATGTAACTAATACTGACCTTTTTTTTTTCTTTTTTCCTGCTGCAAAGGTCCTTTGAACACATGTGGAGCTAAGACTGGACGTTAGTTCTACTGTAAGCGACACCAAAATTCCTGTGACCACCTTTCTCCCTCCTGAGTATCTTACCTAGCAGGCTATTTGCTCTGATGAGGTCATAATGCTTTGTTTGTGGAGTCCTTTTTTCCCTTCTGGTTTTTCCAGACAGGGTTTCTCTATGTAGCCCTGGCTGTACAGGAACTCGCTCTGTAGACCAGAGCTGGCTTTGAACTCACAGAGATCTTCCTGCCTCTGTCTCCCGAGTGCTAGGGTTACAGGCGTGCACCACCACCCCGCTGTGGAATCATCTTTTGTCGCTTACACCTTTAGGAAGACATCAGCTTTTAAACAAAATGAATGTTAGCTGGTAAATTACAACCTGAGATCATGGGGACAAAGATCTCTGGGAGACTTCACCTTTCCTATAAGCGTACCCCTTCCCCTGGGCCTTGTGAGCTTTATTCCACGTTGTAATGGCGACAGCACAACTGAACAGATGCCCAGTGCTTGGCTGATTCTTGATTTCCAAGTCACGCAAACTCCCTCACAATCATATTTCACATAGCAAAGGAAAAAGCCCATTTCTGGTAATAGAGTGAAGTCTTAGAGAGGGAAGAATACCAAAAAAGGTTCCTCTGTGGTGAAGATAAACTGTGTGGAATATTATGCCATAGAATAACTGGCATATTTTAAAGATCTTTTCCTTTTTTGAACACACTTCCTTACGAATGTTCCCAGAGAACATCGTGATCTATCTTAAGTGTGAAGAGAGATATTCTACAGTGTCATATTTATATCACAGGGAAATGTCTAAAAAAGAAGGCAAGTCAATAAAAATAAAGATTTAAACTTTCATTCGGGTAAAGCAAAAGTCATCTACTCAACATGTCAGCCTCTTTGATTCTTTTAGAGCTAGGACACGAGGTGCAAGCTTTTGCCTTCTATTTTCCCCTTATAAGTCATCTTATAACTTATAACGGAACATCTTCGGTTCCGGAAGAGCTTTAAAAATGTGACTTCTGATAAATATTGGCAGAACTGGTGCATTCCTAGAATAAATTCTGTATGCTCAGCGTTTCCTGCCCAAACTCATTCATAGGCCGGCAGATCATGAATCTGCCCACCTAGAATAGGCTGAAGAGAAATGGAGGCAGGGCACAAGGTTTAAGGGTGTGCTACAATTATCTTGAGAATTCGCGACTAGAGTCAAATCGCTAATCAAAGTTAGGCTGATGTAACAACGACTACTATGATACATATGGAGTTTACAATTTAGAAGGATGGGTAAGGGAGCTAGAAAATCTCACACAAAAGAAAACATTATTCTTTCTCCTTCCCTTCCCAGCACGTTCCAACACTAAAACTCCAGTTGCCCTGCTCTCAGTTTTCATTCCGTCCCATAAGGAAACCTGTGACTCTCTGCTCCCCCATCTCCAACCCCACCTCCCCAAATTAGGAAAAGTCTCCCGGGTCTGCAAAGACGAAAAAGGATCCCCAGGCGAAGTTTTATCTGGCTCGGAAGGAGTGAAAACGCAGTAGGTATAGAAAAGACAGTACGAAGGGGGATTAAACAAAACAAAGCAAACTATAAATCTCACACCTGTATCTGGGAAAACAGAATGAGACCAAATAAAAAAAGGGACCCAAAACCCCGCGGATGCTGACTGCTTCGTGACCTCGGTGTACTGCTGCGGGTAGAGCCGGAGCAGCG